AGTGATATATACACCACGACCACGACCATTGAATGTTTTTTGCTCTTCATATAGTATACATATAGGCTGTTTATAACTAGCGAACTATTGTTTTTTACTATACGATGACATCATTATACATTCTTTTTTCTTTTTATCTTCCATCTATACGAGATAGATCGAAAATATTCCTTTATTTAGTATCGAAATGCGTCCATATATGCGGCCATAGTTATTTTGAAATATAATATACAAGTGAATGAACGACTTAACATTGAAATATAAAACTTTTCATTTCAACAACAACGAAAATGTTTTGTAATTGACAATATCAGTCAAGAAAGACTATCGAAAATGACAGAACTCACATTTGCAAGTTATTTTCGATCTATCTCGTATAGATGGAAGATAAAAAGAAAAAAGAATGTATAATGATGTCATCGTATAGTAAAAAACAATAGTTCGCTAGTTATAAACAGCCTATATGTATACTATATGAAGAGCAAAAAACATTCAATGGTCGTGGTCGTGGTGTATATATCACTATGTAATAGTGCCAATGTAATTACACAATATCAGCTAGTTCCATCATAAAGATAGTCTATACAGAATTTACTTTTGCAGTTTTTCTGCAAAAGTAAATTCTGTCATTTTCGATAGTCTTTCTTGACTGATATTGTCAATTAGAAAACATTTTCGTTGTTGTTGAAATGAAAAGTTTTATATTTCAATGTTAAGTCGTTCATTCACTTGTATATTATATTTCATAATAAACCGTGATTTGCACTTTACGGTTATATTTATTAGTTCATTTTCTTTGAAGATTTCATCGCACAATCGTTATCTTCTTTGATGTCTTTTAAAAACCCTATGGGACATTTCAGCACGCTTTGGTTACATGAGTCCTCTTACGGCCATCTTGTAACTTTCTCTATCAGTTCCTGCGTAAATAAACAGTGATAATCTATGGACCTTGCCAGAATGAAAACAGCGTATCTCACGTAAGATCGCAAGGTTTCCAAACAGCTTTCAGCTACTTAAATAGATACTATACTATTCTCAGTCTTCCACTCTACTTTTCAGATCGATACAGAAGTCATTCCTGGCTATATACTGCTCAAGAAACAAAGTTCATTTGTCACAAATGGCATCGATTCCTTCAACTGAGTAAGTCACTATAACATAAGCGGTGTTTAAAATAGGTAGTTAACCTCTACTTACATAACAGAAATCTTGTTAAAATCGACAGTGATTCAGGATGTAGGGAGTCTCATAAACACAGTGTATTTCTGTTGACATAGATTTTATTCTTTCATTGACACCAACGTCAAATTGACTCATTCAGCAAGTGTGAGTGTGAGTGTGGGTGTGGGTGGGTATGGGTGTGGGTGGGTGCTGGTGTGGGTGCTGGTGTGGGTGTTGGTTGGTTTGGCTGTGGGTGGGTATGGGTGTGGGTGGGTGCTGGTGTGGGTGTGGGTTGGTGTGGGTTGGTTTGGCTGTGGGTAGGTCTGGGTGTGGGTGTGGGTAGGTTTGAGTGGGTGTGGGTGGGTGTGGGTGTGGGTTGGTGTGGGTGGGTGTGGGTGTGGGTGTGGGTGGGTGTGGGTGTGGGTGTGGGTGTGGGTGTGGGTGTGGGTGTGGGTTGGTGTGGGTGTGGGTGTGGGTGTGGATGGATGTGTCGGAATGGATGCAGGTTTTGAAAATATGCTATTGATACGTCGACATCCATACACCCACACCCGTATCCGCACTCACATCCACACCCATACCCCACATCCACACCCATACCCCACATCCACAGCCTCATCCCACAACCACCCACACGCACACGCACACCTCACACCCACGCCAACACCCCACACTCGCACCCGACCCACACCCACATTCACCCACAACCACCCACACGCACACCCCACACCCACACCCCACACCACACACCCACACCCCACACCCCACACCCACACCCCACCCACTCACCCACACACACCCACACCCTTTTCAAAACATGGTCGTCTTTTCATGAATACCGTGAAAAACGTGAATGTTTTGAAAAGTGCATATTTCGTTGATGCAAGATCTAAAAGTTCCGACACTTTTTTATACCAGATAGACTAGTTGAAATCTTGATATGGGCCAAGTTTCAGCTCAAAATTCGACAAATGCGATGTCACTGAAAAATCAGAAGCCTGTAGAGAAACACTAAAAACTCTATATCTCAGTCAAATCAGAATATGAGCTCATATTCTCACTGAGTGTTTCTAGTATAGGAGCCCCCTACTTAAGGGCAACATATTGGCCCAAACACTTTGAATCACTTTGAACGGTTTCATCGTGAATTGCTAACGCTAGATCCAGAAGAGTGTTGGACAAGGGCAGGAAGTTCAATTTCTGTAAGTGTCCAGGCAGCAACCTAAAGTGTCGATCAATATATGACGAGGAGCAAAAATCATAAACATGATAATACAATAGATTTGTTCTCTTAGGGTTTCACAATACTGAAAGGTAGAAAAACGTTTGAGCACTAGCGTAAGATAGAGAATATTTTGACAGAAGTGTTACACAAAGGCAGATGCACAAGGATAATGAATGAAATATCACTATGCAGACTCTAGACTTCAGCCCAAACAATATCTCTTATGATGCACTTAAGTAACCAATTTAACAGCGCATTGTAAACCGTAAGATGAGTGCTCTTTGATATTTTCATGAATTCAGAGAGTATAACTAGCATTTTTATGCTCATCTGAAGTAGCTCCTTCATGTTTTTTTGGCATTTTAGTCCCATAGGCAATGCATTGTAAGCTTGTCTTCCATAATCAGAACAGGAACCGCACTAATGTTTTCGTTGGATTTAAATTCATAATACCTTCTCCTGAATATTCGAAAATCTCTTATTGTTTGCTTATAGTGCAATCCACGCTCCGATATTAGCAGAGCCAGGTCTGAACTTGCCACTATTCTGCGCGCCAAACGGATATCCGGACGGTAGTGCAGAAAAGTATGGCGAAAATCTTTGGGTATTGGTAGATCGTTCCTCCATCGATCAGAAGCATTCCTTACAGTATTATGTTCGAAATCAGAATCGAAGAACAATTCTAATACCTGGTGGAAATGAAACTGAAATTGAGCTGTCTCTTCTACAACAACAATATCCGAATACTGCGCCTGATGAGCGATATTGGTATCATGCAACAAGTTGGGATCGAGCAAATCAAATTTTAGAGTTAGGTCCAAGCTTTTCTTCACATGCATCAGATTTAGCTCTGAATGGTGCATTTTATCTAAATCCCTACTATACCGATTGTTACGATTGGTTCACAGTGCGTAATTCAAAATTTAATGGATACCATGCCATGATTATTTACAAGTTTGATCCCTGGGAACTCAGCACTAAAGGAGCAGAGCATACATTCAACGAATGGAAGAGCGCTGTGCGACAACTCAGCACAACTAGACGCAGTGTTCCTTACCACTGGCTATACACTTATCAGAATCATGATCCTGAAAATGTTGAAAAACAGGGAAAAAATGTCCGAGTTCGTCGTACAAAGACGGGTGAACGGGCGAGACAGCTGGTGATTTTCGATGAAAAGCTGTGTACTAAAATTCATCACTGTCTCGTCGGATGTGTATTCTATCAAGACATCCAGCGCCGAGAGAAGAAAAATGAGCATTCTCCTAGCTTTCGAGGGAAAATGGATCGTCGAAGTCGTGCCAAAACTCACAAGTGTTTACCTTATCCTCATGTTCGGACATCACGGACTGAGAAACGATGATCACAAGCAAAAACATTCCGCTGGATGAAAGAAGTATTGCATAACAAAGCGAGCACCTTCGAGACATCCTAACCGACATCAGAAAACTGCATACGAATTGTATTCGGCATCACAATCTGTGCCATATTCTGTTGAAATTCAATTTTAGTCGTTTCAGGGGTGTGGGTGTCGCCGGGTGTGGGTGTGGGTGTGGGTGTGGGTGTGGGTGTGGGTGTGGGTGTGGGTGTGTGGGTATGGGTGTGGGTGGGTGGTGAGGAGTGTGGGTGAGTGTGGGTGTGGGTGTGGGTGGGTGTGGGTGTAGATTATGAAAAGCAAAACATCCACACCCACACCCACCCCACCCTCACCCCTACAAACACCTACACCCACACCCACACCCACACCCACACCCACACCCACACCCACACCCA